AAAATGGCGGATATTGAAAAGGACATAAGCAATACAATTGATTACATCAAAGGTGCATCTCCAAAGACTAAAATATTCCTTTCAGAGGTATTACCAAGAGGGGATACTGATGTTTCCGAAATTAATAAGATGTATCGGACTCTTACACGAAAAAGCAATATCTCATTAATTACAGTACATTCTAATTTTTATAAAAAAGACTGATCTATTCTGTAAGGATAGAATTCACTTGACAGATGAAGGCACCCTAAAACTATTGGAAACATATGACAAGTTTGTTTCCATTTTTAAAGGTAAACCCAGTGTTAGGTCACTCCCTAAGTGCTATAATTGTGGAGGCACTGGGCACTCAATTAAGAATTGTAATCATAAAAACCCAGTCTATTGTTATACTTGTGGTTTACGAGGTCATAAGTCAAATGTCTGTAAATACAACAAAAACTTTGATTATGGCTTCAATTACTAGAATAGTGGCCAAGACTTTAGAGCCGACAATTCTTCTCTAAATACATCATTCCCGTCATCTAGTCTCTCTATTGGTAATAATGTATGTTCTAATTCTTCTGTTAATGATATTCATAGGCAATTATTCATTAATCAGGACTCATCCTCCAAATTGTAAGCCATAATACATCCAGTTCGAATATTTCATACTATGGACTTGACTCTGAATCAAGTGTACTGTCATCAGCGCAGATTGATAATAACTCTTCTTCCTTATTCCCAGGTATGTCGTTTACTAATACTGTAGTATCCCCCTTCCTAACTTTAAAAAAAGGATTACAAATTTGTCATTTGAACATTAACCGCTTTTTCAATGATCTGGATGAAGTTAAAGAATTCATCTTAAATGACTCTAATCATATTGACATTATAGCTTTCAGTGAAACATTTCTTCACTCTGAAATAGACGACAACTCCATTCATATTCCCAATTATCAAATTGTTCGAAAAGATAGAAATAATGATGAAAACGGTGGTGGACTACTTGTTTATGTAAAATCACATATAAAATTTAACAGGAGATTAGACTTAAAAGTAGGAAACATTGGAACAATATGGTTACAAATTTCACCTAATTACAATCAATCCTTTTTATTATATTTTGTTTATAGACCACCCTCTTCCTTGATTAATTGGTATAATCTATTTGACAATCAGCTTAGTTTAGCTAGTAACAGGGGAATTTAATATTGACTTTAAACTTGAGCTTCCATTACAATGGGATAATATTTTAACTGTTTATGGCCTTGAACAGATGGTTGATACTCCTACCAGATGTACTAAAACAACTTCAACTATTATTGATCATCTATATACTAATGCTTCAATCTCCATTTCTGAACTTCATGTCCCAGTGTATGGCCTTAGCGATCATTACCCTATTTTATTTGTACTTGATTGTACTAGATTGAAAAGAGTGCAGAGAGGAGAGGAAATTTCGTTTTTGGTTGATTTTAATAATTTACCATTCACATGATCAGGTCCAGAAGCTTTGTCACATCGATACATGCTATTATGTCTTAGC